AAACCATTTCAGGTGACTACCTCTTGAAGCTCATGGAGAGAATGCCAAGAGTGTGCAAAGCAGTAATCAGAGCAAAGGGTGGCTATTTTGAAGAAACTAGAATATAAAACATGTTTTCAGTTATTTCACCTTTTTTTGTTAAGTACATAACTCCACATGTGTTCATTCATAGTTTTGATGCCTTCAGTGAGAATCTACAATGTAAATAGTCATGAAAATAAAGAAAACGCATTGAATGAGAAGGTGTATCCAAACTTTTGGCCTGTACTGTATGTTCTTTGGATGTATAAAATCTGACTGTTAGCTACCCACTTGAGCTAACAATAGTTAGCTGCACTGATCATGCATACAAATATAAATGTTTAAACTTTTGTCAATATGGAAATGAAACACATTGCTAGCTTGGTTAGATTCTCCACAATTCAATCATTCAATTCATTTTACTGAAACCATGAGCATTCATTCCTATTTACTGGCATGGTAAACAAGAGAGCAGAAAAATAAGTGGTGACTCCTACCTCTGAAGAGGTCATAGATTTTGATAACCCAGTAAGTTATTCATGCACTATTAGTCCATAAGGCACTTCAGATCAAGGTTTTTTTCAAGGGTTTTTCATAAAAATTAATCCAAGTTGCAAATATTAACATATATTAACAGGATAAAGAGTTGTTGTGCCGGAAAGCCAGATGCCGTAAACAAGTCTCGTGAGTCTCTCTCGCTGATGCCCTGTCTGTCCAAGCTAAATCAAATGATTCATAACTGATATATTATTCAAAGCCTAATTTTCATACAAATAATATTCATACTGGTTTTGGTTATGTGAGGAGAAGCAAATGTTCCCAGAACTGGTTATCTAAATAACAGGAACCAGCAGCTTAAGTGACAGGAGGCCCCTCTGAATGTGTGTGTATGGGAAGGCTTGTGGGTGACACAATTGTGAACTAGTACTGCTTGTCTAATCATTATTTAAAGAGGAACTGGAATGGCCTTTTTTTACTTTATTATGTTCTCTAATTGCGGTTGAAGGTTGAATTCCTCACGAAAATTTCTATCATATAAAAAACAACAACTAACTCATCCATTAAATGTGTTACAGCCCATATTCCTTTTTCCATTCGTTCCTAAAAGAAAAGATTTCCCATAAGTCCCACAAGGATGTATTATGTAATGTAAAACTGTGCTTATATAAAAGATTCCAATAAAGGAGAACTTGCTGATGAAAATCTGATAGTTTCACAGGCAGTTTGTATGAATCATAATCACAATGCAATAAAAAATTAAATCCTCACATTATTTGAAAAATTGCATTTGGGGTGCTAAACCAAAAAGAGTCTTTGTGCAGAACAAACGACTGCAGCCGTTTCAATTTTAGAACAGCACTGATAACAGAGAAGTCTATGGCATTCAGACCACCCTCAACACTCTTAACCACGCCACCTCTTCTAATGTAATGACAATTGCTTTTCCATATAAAATTGAAGTAAATTGTTGTTTATTAATCAAATCATTTTGTCTGAAATTTCAAGTGAAAAAACAGGCTAATGCCCTCTCCCCTGTTCTCTCTTCAGTTCTGTTGCAGTGATAACAGTGTGCACCACTAGTTAATGTTAGCTAATGAGTCAACAAATGACCAGTACCAACCACCAGTCCACACATGCTGTGTTTCTACCATCTTTCGGATACAGTGTATTTGTTGAAAATATTTATTTCTCTGGCTATCATTGACGCTGTTATTGCACATGCTACATTAGCTACATGTTGAGAGGGCATTTAAAAAAAAACATGCTTCAAAATGTCTAAATTATGACAATCATGGTCTTTTTGTTGTTAATGTTTTCTATCTCTGCCCCACTTTTTTGAATACTGTCAGC